AATATTCGAATGCCTTATGTTCATCCTTTTTAACTCCAATTCCTTCATCATAACAATAGCCAACATTAAATGTTCCCGATGCTTCACCCATCTCGGACGATTTTTGATAATATTCGAATGCCTTATGTTCATCCTTTTTAACTCCAATTCCATATTGATAATAAATGCCAACATTACATGTTCCCGATGCTTCACCCATCTCGGCTGATTTTTGATAATATTCGAATGACTTATTTTCATCTTTTTTAACTCCAATTCCATTGAGATAACAATATCCAACCTTATATGTTCCCGATGCATTACCCATCTCGGATGATTTTTGATAATATTCGAATGCCTTATGTTCATCCTTTTTAACTCCAATTCCTTCATCATAACAATAGCCAACATTAAATGTTCCCTTTGCATCACCCATCTCGGCTGATTTTTGATAATATTCGAATGCCTTATGTTCATCCTTTTTAACTCCAATTCCTTCATCATAAAAATAGCCAACTTTAAATGCTCCCTTTGCATCACCCATCTCGGCTGATTTTTGATAATATTCGAATGTCTTATGTTCATCCTTTTTAACTCCAATTCCATTTCGATAACAATTGCCAACATCAAATGTTCTTTCTGGATCACTCATTTTGGCTGATTTTAATTGTATTTAAATGACTTTATGATGATGTTTGGCAGGCATGGATGTTATGTCAAAACTTTTACCTCGATTAATATTTCTAATTAAATCCTCAATTACAGCATGTGATCTACTTTTATTGTAGTACAGTCTAATTTGATAAATCAACGGTCATACAGTATTTCTATAAATGGAACTTCATTAAGTAAAAAAAATTTTTTTTATTGTTAATCGCAAACCGGCATCAGTATAATAAATAATTTGAATCTAAGAATACTTTATTTAACTTTCGTTAAGTAAAATTTTTTATTTAAGAATGGATAATCAAATAATAACAAATTATTATTAAAAAATTCTCAAATATAAGTATTTGAATAAATAAAGTTATAATTAATAACTGTATAAATTATTTTAAATTCAATAAAATATAGCTATTTAAAATATTTATTAATTTGATATTAGAAACTTTAATCAAACTTTCGTTAAATAAAATTTTTTATTTAAACATGAATAATCAAATAATAACAAATTATTATTTAAAAAAATCCTCAAATATAAGTATTTGAATAATAAAGTTATAATTAATAATCATATAAATTATTTTAAATTTAATAAATATAGCTATTTAAAATATTTATTAATTTGATACTAGAAACTTTAATTAAAAATATATTTAATATGAAAATCCAAAAAAAAAATTTTATTTCAATTAGTTATGCAGTATATATATTGTAAATATTATATAAAAATTATTATTTTATAAATTTTATTATTATTTATTTATTATTGTTTGTTTGTTCAATTTATTTAATTTAAAGTTAACTTAACTACTAATTTAAATTATAAAAATTATAGTAAATAATACATTAAACAATAAATATGAATTTTTTTTACTAATTCATTTGTCAATTCAAATAAAAAAAATTTATAAAGTTTTATTATTTCATTGTAATATATTTTATATTTTTCTTAATAATATTATTATTTAAGTCTTTAGTTTTTTTTTACTGTTAACTTATTTAATAAATTTTAAAATTAAATAGATTATAATCAATAATAACAGGAAATATATTTAAGTAAAAAAAATAATCTCAGTTATAATATATTAATATTGATAAATAAAAAAAATTGATAAAAGTTTTAGTTATAAAAAAATAATTTAATAATTTAATTGATATTTAAAATAGTTTTATTAAAAACTATATTATACTAAAAAACTTTTTTTTATATATTATTTTTTTTTGAAAATTTTTTTTTTAAGTAATTATTTTCTTCAAATTAGAAAAATAAAATTTTTTTTTATTTTCTATTACTTAAATTCCTTCTATATTACTTTTATATTCTCTATAAAAATCTTAATAACATTTAAAAAATAATACTAATATATCAAAATAAAACTTTTGATCAAGAAATAACAAGTATATAAACCTTGTTTTTTTCTTTAATTGTATAAAAAAAAGCCTAAAGCAGTTATTTTCTTTTGATTTTTTTTTAATTCTTTTTATTTTTACTTTTGTTTAATTTTATAAATTCTTTAATTAACTATATATTTTTATTCTTTAATAATTTTTTTTATTGCAAATAGGTATTAAATATAAGACTTTATTAAATAATAATTTGTTATCATTATATTAATAGTTTTTGTAAAATACAAATTAACTATAATCTATTGTGACTTAAACTGGTTTTATTAACTTATACTGTTATACTTGATTTTCGCTCAAAGATCTTCATTACCCTTGTTCAATTTTAGTAGCATTTACCCTTGTAGTATTGCCCATTCTAGAATAATCTTTGTATTACTGATCTACTATCTCCAAGCACTATGCTTTTCGTGCTATCTGTGCTCTAGAATATTACCTATTTCTCTAATTTATCTTTAATCACTCATCTCCGCCAGAGCACTTCTCTCTATAAAAACACATATAATAAATTGTTTTGATAAAGATAGTATCTCTCTTATAACTTAAATAGTATACATAGCATATATTTATTATGTACTAAATTATATACTAAAAATATGTATATAAATACCCCCAATTCCTCCTGGAATTGCAAGATTAAACTTTCCTCTTTATTAATAAAATAACTTGACCTTTATAAAACAAATTACTATTGCCTCTTTCACTTGACCTCATATACCTCAGAACTGTACTAATTTTAGTACAACCTTATGAACTTTAGTATATCACATTGGTTCATCCATATAAAGTATCTCCTTGTTACTAGTTCTCCATCCATATCTTTCTCCTGAGGTAGGAAGATATATGACAAATTGATATGACTGTGAGATGCGCCTAATCCGTTAGATGCAATTTCAGCAATCAAGACCCAAAAATGAAATGCTTGTTGATTGCCACCCCTGAGAAATTGCCCCCGAGGAAGTTCAATCTTCACAGGAGCGATGAAAGTGACGATGTATCTGTGACAATCAGAGAAACGAAGACCAATTCTGCTCCAACGACAATGTCCAAGAAGAATTCGGCTGTTGGTATAGGCCAAATAGATAAAGAAGCATCGTCCCGACCTAAAAGAAGTCCCAAACCAACATAGAAGCTCCGGAATGGCTTGCGCAGAAAAAAAGCGAAGCCTAAAGAATGATGATCACGGGATTGGTAGTATATGCGCCTCCCCCTAAAAATTAAATTATTATTAAATAAATAAATGACGCTGTAATAATGAAATTCGCCACCCCTGAAGAAACAAAGAACAAGAGAAGACCCCGAACCAAGAAGATACTTACCTCTTAGCGATGATGCAGTATGATCGCCACCTCAGCATACAAAGAAGAGAAAATGGCGAATTAGCATTTTGTCATTTTAGGAAAAAAAAATAAATAAATAAATAAATAATAAAAAAAGTTACCAGTAGTAGTTGAACCGAATCCAGAAAACCCGTTATCCAGCACATCTAACACTAATGCTGATAAATCCGCTGATATTTCAGATTCCAAGGATGACGATAGTAGAACACATGGAGAAAGAGAAAAAGTCGAAAAAGCGGATGGATACTATAATATGGATGTACCTTGGTATTACCATATTAAAGAACGTTGTGGTATACGAAACCAAAAGCGACAGAGTTGTGGGAATGAATCCTCAGATGATGAAGGTATATCATGCTACGACAGCTCAGATCTCGGACTTGATAGTAGCGATGACGAAGATGGTTCTGATGATGGTACCGACGATCACGAAGAAATGCTGCGGTACCGAAAGAAGCAAGAGATGAGTTCCTAAAGGAAGAAAGGACCATCCAGTAAAAAAAAAAGAAGAATAGCAAAGAAACCAAAGGCAAAGAACCAAACTTACCAACAAGACTCTGGTAGCACATGCAAGAGACGATGGATATCGCCGAGGGTCAAGGAGAACCCACGGATGGCGAATCGAACGTGAAGCATGGGACTAGAAAAGACTGGTAAGAAAAAGTTAGAAGCCAATGGTAGAATGTCGCAAAAGAAAGAAAACATCGCAACATACCTGAAATTCACCAAGACCAATGACTGAAAACGTTGAAATACCATTATAATCATGATCACAATCACGATCGAGAAAGTTTAATTATCTTACGAGTCGGATAATACACGCCTAGAATATATATGCATGCATATATATTTCCAACGATGTCAGAGCAGCAAGGAATGCCTAATGCTCTGACAAACTCCCACCACAATAATCACCATCACGACCGACGAGAGATATACCATCCCAACGATTGGAAATACTGGGATAAGACCGCGAAGAAGGCACCGACATGGAAAGAAAAAGAAGAAAAAAAGAAAAAATGGTTAGAGAAAGAACTAACCATATACAAAAGCCGAAACATGATGAAAAACTTAACTCACCTTCTGAAGATGACAGCCCCAAAAATCAAATGCTGGGATGCTGTCATAATTGTGATCACAATTATGATTATGATTGCGCACGGGAAATTTCGAACGCCACCACCATTATGAAGAAGATGATAATACCGAAGAAAAGGAATGAAAGTAAGACATCGCCGGAACCAGAAGCAACCACGTACGCAAAAAAACCACTTACCTTTGATAAGACGCTGGCCTGAAGAGAAATAATTCTGGGATGCTGTCATAAGTGTGATTATGATCATGATCATGATTGCAATCACACGCCTTCCGTCTTCCCGAAGAATAACAATTCAAAACCTTGGAAGCTAGATTGTCAGAATTACAAAAAATCACGATATAATAGTGAACGATCTTAATGATATGAAGAGTAGATATCAGAAATGTCTGTCGAAAACTAATGAGCTCTACCTTAGACTTGCTGAATCCCAAAGCGAGGAACTCAAGAATTACATCCCTTTAACGCTAGTGACACCAATATCGCCCACTAATTCAGTCGACCGAATGTCCCTTTCGCAAACCTTCATTTATAGCGAGTTAAAATAAGGAATTTCTGGGCAAAGCAAATGATGTATCAAGATCAATGAATTTCAGACTTTTGCCATATACTGAACTACCACGATCACCACCGGGATTCCATAAGTCACGTGACTTAAAGCATGAAGCTAGAGAAATAATGACCAAGATGGAAAATACAGTCACCATTATTATGAAGATGACGATGACGATAGGGACAAGAGAATACTTACAACAGCCCCCGAAGATCAAATGCCAGAATATCATCATAATCATAATCACAATTATGATCGTAATTACATGCCTCCTTTCCAAGAAATCACGATGCAATGGCATAATCTACCAAAGAAACAAGACATGGTTAGCATACACTTTAACATCATATAATCCCTTACTAGCATACATATACTGATCCTGTCCCGACATGAAACTGAGCCCTTGACTATAAAATCTTACCCCATCATGATTAAATACAAAAACAAAGACAAATGTGAAGTTAATAATTACCTTTACCTTTTTAATTATCCTTACCCTTTCTACAATTTCTTTATGATTCCTTTGTTATTCCTTTAATTATTCCTCATACTCTATTAGTATTTAGTAACACAAATATCATTTTACTTTTTTTAAGACTTGAGAAAATATTATTATTTGCTTGGGTAATTTCATAAAGTCACTACATAGCTGTAGATGATCTTGATTCTTAGGAATCCATAGCATATGCTGGTTAAAGGCTGGTCAGTTATGAAGCACGAAACTATAGCAGAATGATGTTTGAGGCTATAGCATTTTATGAAATTATCAAAGTAATTAATATTATTTTTTCAATTTATTTACACATATGATATATTTTATTTATTCACATAAAACATTTTTTAATTTTATTAAAACTTTATTATTTTATTATCATTATTACTTTTACATTTAAGAAACATTGAAATATTGAGGTATCCTTTAGCTATTAAAAGATTCAGCACCTAGGCTATACAATGTAGACGTAGATACCATGATAGCCCAGTCCTCAACTTGCCCAAATACAAGTATCATTGAACCCTTGAATGGAGGAAGGAATCTGAAAACTAAGACGCAAGCAAGAAATACAGTACAATAAAGAGAACCCACTAAGCTCTCCTCTTTCATTACAGCCAGCCCACAAAACATACTCAGCGACTACTGTATTTCTTGTAATGAATTCATGAAGCTAGGTTGAACAAAACAAAATATCAAGGTTGAAAAGGCAAACCTCTAATTAAATTCAAAGGTAAAAAAGAATGATTAAAAGAAACTGGTACAAGATTTCCTAATAAAAAAAAAATATGACAGCAAAATAACCGGCCAGAACTCTAGCTCCAATTATTTGCCACCAGCCAGAACCCTAGCTCCAGTGTGTTATTTTTCTTATCAGTAGCAACTGTTTCACTCAAAATTATACAATTTTTTATTTAAAAACAAAATTCTTACACATTATTATTATTGTTATTATTATTTCTTCTTTCCTGTTCTTTTTGATAACTAAGAGGACAAGACTCAGGATTTCTTCCAGGATTTAATCGCATCCAGTCTGGATTAAGTTTATATTCATATCCAATAAGCATGCCATCTCTGTCATATGGAGAACAATAATGTTTTTCCCAAGGACCATCCATATGAGCCCAGGAATTTGAGTTAGGACTCAAAGTTTTTTTGGCAACGAAGGAGTTTCCTTTCTAATTCTTTATTTCTGGATTCAAGTTCAGCAATACGACGTCAGAGGACACCAATCATACCTGATCAAGTTTGACTTACAACCAAATGATTGATGCATTCTTCTTTAAGTGTAGTTATTTTCTCTAAGACCATTTCCAACTTTTGTTCCAAAAGAAGATTATTTTATTCTGACCTGCGCAAACATCTTTACAAATATTTGACATGTTCTTCTAAGTAGTTGACTGTAATTTCCAATGGATTCTTATTGGAGAAGTGAGTAATAGGATGACTTCTGGGCATAATAACAACAAACCTGAAGCAAGGAAAAAGGAAAGAAAAATCAATATCCAATATTAAAAATAAAAGAGGTCAAATATAAGGAAGCAAATTGACAAGTTATTCTTGAATCTATAAATTCTCTTTATG